CATCGTGTTAAACCCTTGAAACAAAACCCTAGCACCCATTGGTGTGGTTCTTGAGCTTTTGGTGGTATTTCATGCATTTTGGTGCTCATAGAAGAAGAAGGAGCTTCATGAAGAAGTGTGGGATTGCTTGAAGCTTTTGGATCTGGGATTTGTGCATCTTCATCTACCTTCTGAATCATTGGTTAGGCATTCAAGGTTAATCGTCTCGTCTTCAATATACTCGTTCATTTCAGACATCTAAAAGTATATAAAAGAGTTAAGAAAATATAAACCAAAACAGTTAACAAAAAGAAAACAGACAATAAAAAAACAGCAAAAAAGTTATAAAAAACAAACATGTAATATGTCAAATACAAAATCTTTTCATGGACAACAAAGCAACAAATAATACTTCTGTCATTATCAATATCTAAACTCTAAATCATTTGACAGCTTTATACATCAAACATCTATACAAAGGAATTCAATTCCATTCCATTTCTTGTAACAGAAAGCAAAACAGATTCCAACTTAATTCCAGAACATATATTTTTTATTTTTCTGCAATAAATCAATGTACAAACAAATTCAGTGTAATGCCCTGTTCTGAATTGACTCCTAGTCTGAGGCTGTGGCCTGAAGGTCGATCATCATAAGGATTATAGCTTTTGAAAAGGGTAAGATCTAGGCTATTTTGGGTGCGAGTGATTTATTAGAAGCGATTCGGATGTTCGGTTTGTGTTTTGGAGCCTAAGGGTATTTCGGTAAAGTGTTAGTTTGGGCTTTTGTGGAAAATGGACTTTTTTTCGGAAGGTCTTAAAGAAGAAATGAGTTGATAGAAGTGTAGGGCTTCTCGTTACCTTTTCGGGGATATAAGGATCGTCGAAAACGGATTTATAACGAAGAACTTATGGCCTTTGGAAGTTTAGTGGTTTCAGGCTTAGCCGAGTACGTTGGGCATATTGACCAGGATGGTCATGAATGCTCTTCAGGGTACGCTAGGCGTACCATATATATGTTGGGCGTACACCAATCATACCTGAACCCTATTTTAGGGTCTTGGACCCTATTTAATCTCATTATCTCATAACCTAACCCTAATATCTTCAACCTCCACCCTCTAAACCCTAGAAATCGACCCTTAGCCCTCATTTAAGTTTTTTTGGAGCTTGGATGGCCATTAGAGGAGTATTTTGGAGTTTTTGAAGAAGAAGGTGTGTAGAGAAGAAGCAAGAGATTGAAGAGAGCTTGTAGATCCAGAGGTTTTACATCATTTCCAGCCTATTGAAGGTATAAAATGCTCATCTTGGTGCTTCTACATCATAGCTCTAGGTTCTCATGGAGATTGTCCCTTTTTGGTTTCAAGAATGGATTTTTAAGGTGCAAATCCGTTTCTGGACTTTGGGTTGCCACCCATGAAGTTATTGATGGGTGTTGAGCATTCTAACACTTCTAAGTGTACATGCAACCCTAAATACATTAGATCTATGTTTTCTCTATTATACATGCAAATATGAACTTTCCAAGGTATTACCCTATCTAGCATACAATACTTGATACTTGGGTAATCAAATGGATAGAATACATACCTTTGTTTGATGTAGCTTGTCTTCATGAAGCTTGAGTGCCTAGTGCCCCAAGTGTGACACCTCAAGTGGTTCACACAACATCATGTGCACTTGGAATGACTTGATAGAACAAACACACTTTATGAAATCGGCTAGCCCTCTCACATATATTCTAGTGCCGATTTTGTCACCAATAAGATCTTTATATAGTGTCACAATTAGGGTAAACCCTAATTGTCATGGCTTTCCATTTCCTTGGATCCATGGGTTCAAATACACCATGGAGCATCCATGGAGCATCCTATGGGTTTTAGCCCAACTTGATAATCCATGGAGCATTAGCCCACTATACATGTATGGATGATTTACACAATCAACCCATATATTTAATTAGTCTTCTTTTGATCACTTAATTAATCCTAGATTAATTCTTGATCAATACTAATTAAATAATCTTATTAATATATTAGAACTTATAATATATTAACAAACCTTAAGTGTTATTTCTCTCATTATACTCTATCCAAATGCATGATGCCATGCAACCCAAATGGACCATGCCAGGTCGGGTCAAGTCTTACCAATTATAGTTATGGACTTAGATATTAATCCAACAGTTATATGAGTCCCTTGAGCAGTAAAGTTGCAATCTTTAAGGCACATATGCATCCATGCAAGAGATCTAGCCATTTCCATGAAGATAGTTGTTATTTTTCCAAGTTTGATCTCATTTGGTGGGGTGCAAGCCACCAAGTGATCAACTTTATGGGTTAAGACGGATTATTAGACACATATATAAGGTTTGGAAGTTGTGTCTTAAGGGATTAAGCAGTTTTGAAGAATATGGATTATCAAGGGAGTACGTTGGGCGTACACGCCAGTGCGTGCAGTGTACAAGCCATGCAAGTTGTACGCGTAACGTACAGAAGAGCACGCTCAGCGTATACTCAGACTGTGGACTTTGAGTTATTGGGCCTCGGTTTAGGGCTTGCCTTGCGTTAGTATACGTTGGGCCGTGATGAGCCACTAGGAGATAGTTAAGGGCCCAAAGGCTAGTTTGGGTTGGGTGGAAAGCCCATTTGAGGAGTTGGGACTAATTTCAAAAATTGGGCCATTGGAGGACTTTAATGGGCCTTATTGAGTTTAGAAGGACTACAAAGGATTGGGTCTAGGTCATGGACCAAATTGGATCAGAAGGGTAAAATAGTCATTTTACTCATAGAAGAATCCTTATTTCTAACTAAGTGTTTATTTGGTCATGATAGCCGGAGAGTAGCCAAAACAATAGTCAGGGATTTCTCACTCGGGTTTTCAGCAGTCAGTCTTACGAGGTGAGTTTTCCTCTAGTAGGAATGGGTCTACGGCCACAATATCGGCCCGTTTAGATGATAGTAGTTCCGGAGTTCTATCTGATGGTGGGGTTAGCCCGTTGCAGTAGTTATGTATGCTTGATGTCTTTGTGATTCATGCATGTTGATGTCTTTGTGATTCGAAAATGCTTTTATTTGGCTACAAAATAACATTTTAAACTTATAAGTATCATAATTCTATGCAAATAACCAAAATGTTAATAAAAATGTAAATAAATATTGCCTAAAAATACGTATAAATATGGCAATATCAAAATACCCTACACTTGTTCTTTGCTTTCCCTCAAGCAAATCTAATTTTTAAATCAAACTTTCATCACCAATATCACATAGAACGATCTAACTCAAGATTAGCCATTATGCTAAGACCTCAACGCATGCATTTGTGTCTAAATTTTTTCCTAAGTAACCCCCCTCAATTCTAAATACTCACAATCCTCATAAACACGCGCTCACTTCTTTTGAACAATGCTCATTTTTAAGTTTGTTGAGCTTTGGCTCTTTCAAAAAAAACAATGCTCATTTTATGCAACCCTCCGAATCCATCCGCAGAAGACTACCTTAACCTCAAGGTATTTTTTGTAAAGCTACCCAAGCATACATAAACTAGATAATTACAACTTCTTAGAAGATACCACAATATGGAGCTCTTGAATTCTTCACTTCTTAATATTTTGATCTTTGATTTCTTTGAATTCACCAACTTTTTGTGTAACTTTCGTATCTTCAACTTTTAAGACTTCCGAATTTTCGATTTTTGATCTTCATACTTTGATACTTTTATACTCCAAAATTCTTCAATTTCTTACTTTTGGTAATTTCTCTCTTTTTTTTTCACATGTATCTCACTTTTTTTATATCACTCAAAAATCTACATGCTTAAGTAGGGGCGCTTAACTTCAACCTGTTTTGGTTAAGACATAGCTTTCTTGAATACATTTCAAGTTTAGGTTGCTAAACATATTGCATCCCTCAAACTAAGTGAGGTTGTGTTTTTGTCCCATGATTTCACTAGAATAAAGGAGGCCACAAATGCACTATAATGCATATCGGCTCAACTAAACATTTGAGTTCTTATTAGATCATCCTAATGCAATACAAGCAACTTAAGTCTAAATTATTATTACTAGAACTAATTAGATTATTATTTCAAACCTATATTAAAATTTCCTATAATTTCTAGCAATTTAATTTTTCGACCCCTTACCCCACACTTATTACATACAATGCCCTCATTGTATGCATAAAATAAAATTTAAAAGCAATAAAAGGGAGAAAAATGAAGAGACTCCCCTGGGATAGAAGTGGCAAGATCGAACTCCAAACGTGTAGTTGACATGTGCATCCTGAATATGGAACTTCATCTAAATAGGAACTTGGACTTGAACTCGCAACAGATGTAAGTGAGCCAACAAGCGAAAAAAACAATGAATCGAAACTTCAATCTGCCACAAGAATGGTGTAAGTCTTCAAAATGTATAGAATAATGTGGGAAAGCATACACCACTTGTATAGTAGAGGAAATGACCAGAATGCACGTCGTAAAAACCCCAAATATAGTGAAATTGGGAAATTCACGGCGTGAGTAATATAGGCTCACGAAGTGAAGTCGCAGTAATGCGGATTCAGAAATCCCTTGGAATCCAACTCACAATGTGAATAGTAGATGCTCACGTCTTGAAAACTGGCCGACTGAAAAATGAAACTGCCCATTCTTCTTATTACTTTTGGCATCCCTTTCCAATTTCTAAATTGATAAAGACACTTTTGAATGCATAATTTCTATGACTCCGTGCTAATTTCATCCTCCTTCTTGACTCACCCACACTTATTTTTAATTGTGCGTCTCGACTCTTAACTCTAGACTCGTAACGACTCTTGACTAGACGATCACAACTCTTAACTCGACTTTACTCCCTTCCCAATTACTCCTTAGCAGGCTGTAATCAAACAATCAAAAGGAAATAAAAGTAACATAATAGCAATCCAACAAGTGTTTAACAATCCATACAATGTTTTCAAACCAACAAATCAAAACCAAACAAACTAAAAACTAAAGACTAAATAAAAACTAAACACACGATCAATCATCTTCCTCTTCATCCCGAGCTCCACTAGTGCCTGCCCCATCTCCTCCTTGGTCTTGATACTCACTCATCCTAGGGTAAATTGGGTAGTGATAATACCCTGTCATATCATCTCCAATATGTGATCCTCCTATGGGTGCGCGTGGATGCATCGGCTGTCCTCTTGCACTTCTCCCTCTAACATTCCATCTCCGAGGCCTTTGTTGGGGTTCAGGTTGGTCGGTCGGTTGCTCATTAGCATCATCATTATCATTAAGAATCCCCAAATGTGTTACATAATTCCTTACCACCCTCATCGTCTCTAAATACCACATAGTAAACTCGTTCCCCTCCATGCAAGTCAAAGAACGAGTGATGCCAGGAACGATGAGTCCATAAGACCAGGCCAAACGCGTAATAAAGTGCCTTCCATAAATAGGACTCCCGGGACGGGAACTCGTTGCATACTCCGCTAAATAGGCCAAGAAATACGGAATGTTACAGCACACGCTTGGTTGTAAAATGCACCATAAAAAGAACAAGTTAATTTTAGTAACCTTATCACCATGGCGTTTGTGGTGAATAGAAAATGTGATAAGGCGATGGATAAGGAGATGTATTGGTGATTTGATGCTGCTTTCCAGAGATACATCGGAGTTGAACATACCATACGCAATATTACTCCAAAACTCAGGACCCGAGACCCCATTCTCATACCCACGTGTGGCCTCCCTCAAAAACAACACAAACTCATGAGTCATGGTCTCATGAGCCTCATACAACCCCATCCTCCATAAAAACTCCACCAAACTACATTCCCTATATTCCCCTGCTAAATGAAAAACCAAAGCTTGCGGGAAAGTAGGATCTTGGACATTCTCATGGAATGCCACAGTTGAAAAGAATTCCACGCATAGCTCTTTGTATACACTTTTCTGGATACCAAACAAATTGTACCACCCTTTGCATGTGAACAAAAATCCATTACCCAAAACAACTTAGTAAGATACTGAGACATCTGGTCCACAAGTCCAACCTACCTCAATCGTGTCGACTGAATAGTGGGGGCAATTACAAATTCCCGGTTGTTCCAACGCGTATATACATCCCGTGACATACTCGTTGGAAAGACATAAACGGGTGGAGACAAGCAACCCCGGTTGGAGCTTCTCTTCTGGGAGTTGTAACTGTAAAAATAAAAATAAAAACAACCAACAAGACATCCCAAAAGATTAGTAATAAATAGAATTAAAAACTGTAAATACCTAGGATTCACGTCGTGAACCACTAAAGATTCACGTGGTGAGTTCGTAAGCAGAAACCGGAATCGAACAAATCAGGACTCAAATCAGGTCAACAATGTCAATAGGGTTCACTCCTTAGGCAATTTCAAACTAATTACAAGAACATGTAGTAACAATTCCAACATTTAGGATATCAATTTTTTATATCTAAAGAAAAGTAAACCCTAACCCCTAAATCTAGCAATTAAAGCAATAATAAACATTGGGGAGAAGATTAATGTACCTATTTTGGAGGATTACGTAAGCAAAAGATGATTTAAGGATGAAAACAGCCGCAATAGGTGCAAGGGGGGACCAAACAACCGTGTTCACTTCGTGGGGAATAAATAATGAGGGTAGGTCAAAGTTGAATCTATGTTTTATTCTGTGGTCCCGAGTTTGTCACTGTTCACGTCGTGAATCCTAAAGGATTCACGTCGTGAGTCCTGTCTGGGCTTAATTTTGGGCCATTCATTCTATATCAGAAATGGATTGGTCTTAAAAATATTGGGCCATTTAATTTAATAGAAAATGGGCTAATTACGGATCAATGATATATTGTTCGTTACATTCCAAACTCACGTCGTGAATCATACTGATTCACGTCGTGAAAACTGTATGATAATAAATTTTTTATTAATCCTAAATTTTTTCTTATTATATTCCATAAATTTTACCACTTCATTTTTAGGTCCCCACACTTAGTGTTTAATTATAAATAAAGTGAGTTGGATGATGCATGTGATTGATGTTTCTAAAACTAAAAATGCAAAAACTAAAAAGAAAAAAGAGAGAAAACGCAAACCAAACTCGGGTTGCCTCCCAAGAAGCGCTTCTTTTTTAGGAGTCTTGAGATGGACTCTATGCCTCCTACGTTGAATCTTCAGATGATTCCACTACCAGGATCTTCTGCTCCTTGAAACGCCTCTTGTAAGCATGTACAATAGAGAAACCTAGATCCAAGCATTAGGGTTTGTATGAGCACATAGGATGTCTTATGACCAAAACCCATCAGTGGTATCAGAGCCTAGCTTGGTTTCAATTGTATTGATGCATTGTATAACTGAAAATTTTGATTTTTTGGATTGTGGAGGCTGGACTCGCCGAGTCCATGCAGACTCGACGAGTCCATGCCTGACTCGACGAGTCAACTCGTCAGATAATGCTTATCTCGGGATTTCTTGCTGTTTTTGCATATGGATAGTTACCTTATCATGTTAGATCAATATAAATCCGATTTTATGATATATATATGACTATATTCTTGATCTAGTTAAAGATAATTATCAATTAACAAGATAATTGTTTCCTTATAAGATAATTGATTAATTATTTTGAGTAAATTGATAAATTGTTTTGCAAGAAATCATTAAACAAATCAAATATGGATAATTATGTAACTAAATGTTAGTTTAGATTATTTATTATTTGATCCTTGTTGTTTCCCCTTTAGGTTTTATAGTTTAAATTTGAACCCAAAAGTTTTCGAGTTTTGAAATTTAAATAGTTAAAACCCTAATGTTTTGAAAAAGGTTTCAAAATTTTCCCTCAAGTTTTGGAATTTAAAAGTTGATTAAAAGTTTAATTAGAAATGTTAAATTCTAAAACCCTAGTAATGCTTTGAAAAGTTCAAATCACACCCTTATGGTTTTATTAATTAATTAAGGAGAATAATTAAAAGAGGTTTAATAAATCCATAAAAGTTTAGGTTAACCATTTAATTGAATTAAAAGTGTAATTGTTAAAGTTAACCATATAGTATTTTAAAAGTGTAAAATACACCCTATACTATATATATAACATTAAAGGTCTAACATTATATATATGAGTAAAAGTCAGTCTTACCGTTAGTAGGCCTCATTCACGAAGCTGGTCTATAAGGGGTGTTTAAGGAAATTGCCTATAAAATGGCGATTGAATGGGTATCCACTCTTACCCACCGCACTCTTGACTAGTGGAGGGTCGTTAGCCGAACGGGTAGGATAGGACGAAACCTTCCATTATAAGTATAATGAAATACAAAGTAACTAAATGTTTTTCAAATTCCCAATCTTAGTTACTTAGGCAAAAGTGAATTGATGCAATTCCATGAAATTACACTTTGTGCCCTTGCGAAGACGTTAGTGGAGCGTGTGTGGTTTACCGGCACACTAAATGGTTCTAAGCAAAAGGTAGCAAAGGGTGACTCAATGTTTGTCATAGTTCGGTGGAGCGTGTGTGGTTTACCGGCACATCGAATAGGTGATTGTAACATGTGAGGGCACCATGTAGTTTGCATGGTTATTCACACCCGCTTTGTGATCCTCGGCATCCCAGTCACAAACAAGAGGGGCATATCGAGAATTAAACATGCCATTGAAATGTTCAATGAATCTTAAAGGATTTTAGGAGTTTTCATAGATTTAAAACTTAAATTTCTTTTTCGTTTTTCATGGTGGAAATTAGTGAATCGTCATTCACTTACCTTCAAATGTTCTGCAATTTGGGTTACGGCATCCCTCTCCCGAGTTGTAGGATATTGTGTTGGGTCCTAGCCTTGGAATTTCATTTGGGTGATTTACCAAGGACTCAATCAATCAACTAACTTGAATTCGTTTTTCTCCTGATGTCAAAGTTCGACAACTATGGTCTTCTCAAATCCCGTGGAACAAGCATTCCACATGAAGATGATATTCCACGATTCGATCGAGGAACAAGAAATCATGCTTCACTTCCTCCTCCTCCTCCAATTATTCTCCCTAACCCACAAGATTGTAAAATTGAAATGTTCAATATCACTCAAGCCCTTTTGGCAAGTAAACATAAAGAGGGCAAGTCGGTGTGTGCACACGTCTTAGGGATGAAGTCACACATTGATAGATTAAGAATGATGGGATCCGTTGTCGGTGAAGCGATGGCTGTTGATTGGGTTCTTCAGTCACTTCCCAACTCATATAGTAAGTTCGTAAGAGAGTACTATATGATGAGCTACGACGTGACCCTTATAGATCTCACCTATATGCTTATTGTTGTTGAATCTGCAATGGTTTGGCGCAATAGAAAAGCAAAGTTGATTGATGAATCCGCCTTCAAGACCTCTATGGATATAGACAATGGCAATGAAAGACATGCAATGATCGAAAAGTTTGATCATAAGAGAAAGGCGATGTCTGAAGTAGTTCCATGTGTTGTTCCAAAGGAGTCAATTTGCTTTTATTGCCAAGAGAAGGGGCATTGGAGACGAAGTTGCCCTATTTACCTAAGAGATCTAAGAGATGGGAGAGTCAAAAGTATGACTACGCTTTAGGTAAGAATCCACTATCTAACTCCATTAAGTTCCTATTCATTGATTCTTAATACATGATGTGATAAGATTGCATTTGAATGTTTTGAAGGATCGGTGAAAAGAAAGGAAGCTTGATAAGAGAGCAAGATGAATCTAATCACAAGAGATGGATCTTGATCGCATGGACTTGATGATTGGATTTTGAGCGTTAGATAGTTATGATAGAGTTGTTAGAATTTTTCCTTTTACATAGTTTTCAATGGATTTTGCATTGTAAGGACAAATGTTTTTCCGCTGCTTTTATAAATAAAATAAATTTTGTTTGACTTATTTATTTATTTGTTTACTTCCTTGCAATGAAATCGTAATGAAAATTGATGTTTGCATATTTCTACAACGAATGGATGTGATTCTTAGTTATGTTATTTATGGAAATGTCAAGAATTTACCAAATAGGGAGAGTTTCTCATCACCCAAATTTCAATTGGACTGAAATTTGGAATCACGCAACTTGGTTGCATGATGAATGAAAACATTTCATATTTGGAAATTAGACAAATTCATTGACAAAGTGTCAAGTGAAGGACTAGGAGATCGAATACACAAAGTTGTGTGTTGATCAAGTTCACCATGAGAGTAACAAAGATATTCGTCATGATTTACTAAAGGTTTAGTAAATATGATTACACTTACAAGATTAAGTGTAATTTTGAATTGATTAAAGGGTTTAGATCAATAGCAAAACGAATAAGAAGAATCAAGTAGGCAG